TTATACATGAACAGAGTTCAAATAGCTACATTTTGATATTGCTAAAAGGGAAAAGAGGCAGAGTAAAACCACAATCACTAGAGACAATTCCAAAGGGCAACATTTTCGTAGGTGAGCTCAAAGTCTGAGTGACTCCAACTTGTGTAAGGAGACCTGATGCCTTCGTCCCAAAGGCTAAGGGAGCCTCTCAGCATCGCGCCGCCCAAACACACCTGCCTGTCGAAGAAAGCTGCCCATTGCCCAGGAGCCAGGCAGCGCATTGGCCTGCTTAAATGGATGGAGAGGAATTGTGGTTTCATACCACGTTTGCTGGATCTGTCTGTCCCATTTTCTATCAGCTTATCTGGCAGTTGCGCTTCTGAGTATGCACAACCGGCATCGGCTGCGGCTGCCTGAGGAGATTCGAACCCATGTACACGGGCATCTATAGCTCGCCACTTGTTTTGCCATTGAAATTGGTACCACTCAGAGCCCGACAAAGTAGGGCTGACTCCAGCTATCCATGAAGGTTGATCGGTCCAGCATTTTTGCATGAATAGGGCGGGATGAGTCGGCTTGCTGGCCTGAAATCAAATTACGAAAATACACAAATTTTGAAAATAAACTCTAAAACCCAGACAGGAATATAGCAATGAACGAATAAATCATAAAGCTATATTTTCATTTATCAGAGATATAAGGTCTGGAGTATCTTGATTAAGATTCCTGATTGAATTATCCCTGCTGAGTAGATTCTCATATCGTACGAATGAGTGAAGCCTAACGAGTCGACCTAATGCAATACGCTTGATTTCGTGGGAAGATAAGAAGGATGACTTCAACGCGAATAAAAATAGTATATATAAACATAATTCTTATGTTTTTTGTGTATTAGCAGATTCGAGAGTACCAGTAAATCATCGGAGATACGAAGAAAAACTTGGTTTCGATGAATCTCCTAAGATAACATTGTTGGGAAGACCTTCATTTCAGATGAAAGTGCATAAAGAAGAGATTTGTTGGACGATCTCAGCAGATGAGGGCGGATGAATCTCGTTGTACTGCAGCCGTTTGGCTTTTATACGATATTCATGTTGACGCAGTCGATGAGAATTCCTCCCTCGTTTCGGGTGAAAACGTGCTGAGCCTTAGTCCATCATATGATGGACATCATCAGAGCTGGGTGTCATTCTTGTAAAAGTGTCACATTAACACTAAAGCAAGAACACTATACGGCTCTAAGCTAAGCCAAAAGAAAATTAAAAACCTAGATGAATATAGAGTGGTTTGGCTAATTTCCTTTCATACTTGTCCTGCTACTTTTGCTCGAGTGTATGTGTGTGTGTGTTAGCGTCTATACCCAATACCGGTCCTAAGTCAGAGTTATCAAAAAGTTAAAGTTTGGCTCTGATCATAAACGCCTAATGACCTCAAAGAAAGCCCTGACTGAGACTGAGTAAGTCCGTAAGCAAGTATGATTGAGATAATGAGATATAAGCTTGTAAGCATATAAGTCAAGTTACGAAACCATTTGTCCTAACCTCTCAGTGTAGGGTCATTAGCGTTTAACCCTCCAAGGAAAGGCATAACTGGGGCTGCGTAATTTGGCACGTCTGGTTTGGTTGATGAGCTTAATCTAACATGTTGGAAGAGTGTGATTGAAGTTAGAACCATCACCGAGAAGACAAATTGAGTCGCCTTCTTTTTGACGGCGGTTCAACACTCTCTCTCTCTTTCAATCTATCAATCAAGCAGAAGTAATTCCTACTCAACTTTCTAACACCGTTCCTCGCATTCAACGTATTTCCTAAGCTATTAATTTCAATAGCCTCTCTTATCT